TTCTTCCAAAGATTACCAAATGAAAGGAGTAAGAGTAATTCTTTGGAATGCCAACGGTATATTATCTCATAAAAATGAGCTCGAAATTTTTCTTAGTTATAACGACATAGACATTGCTTTACTGACGGAGACTCACTTAAAAACAAATATTAGGTTTCACATACCGTCTTACATCACTTATCGAACTGACCGTCCTTCAAATAGAGCTAAGGGAGGTACTCTCATTCTCGTTAAGAACTCAATCAGTCATCATTTCAATGCTTCTGAGGCCTGTGAGAGTTATCAATCCACTTCAATAGTGGTTAATATATTTCACTTTAATCTTACCATAGCAGCTATATATTGCCCTCCTGGTAAGAATGTATCAATCCAAACATTTGATCAGTTGCTACAATCTTTGGGTAACAAATTTTTATGTGGCGGTGATTACAACGCTAAGAATCAGGTATGGGGCAGCAGAATCAGTAATTCTAGGGGCAGAGCCCTTCAAAATGCAATTCTTGCTCAGAATTGTAAATGCTTATCCCCCTCTTCACCGACATATTGGCCCACGGATGCTAACAGGATCCCTGACGTTTTTGGATTTTTTCATTGCCAAGGGAATAAGCATGCATCATTGTGCCATTACTGATCTGACAGACCTATCTTCAGACCACTCCCCTCTTCTTCTAACGGTAGACTCAAAACCTATAAACAAATCTCCTCGACCGTCGCTAACACCTGGAAAAATTGACTGTAACACGTTTAGATCTTCCATTGAAAATTCATTATCACTGAACACTAATATAAGAACACCTGAAGACTTGGACGACGCAGTTCATCACCTCACACCAACAATACAAAATTCAGCATGGACTTCTAATATCTCTAACAAAAAGACAGACAAACATGACCATAATTACATTTCACCGGAGATAAGACATCTTATCGTACAAAAACGAAAAGCTCGTAAGATATGGCAAAGAACACGTTACCCATCTGACAAACAGAAGTTTAACAAACTAACTCGACAACTTCACGAAGAAATAAGACGTTCAAAGACAGAAAATTTTGATAACTTCTTGAATGGTTTAGCAATTTGAGAGAAACCACTTTGGAATATAACCAAACGGATTCTACATCATCATGATGTGTCACATCCTCTCAGACATCATTATGGTTACTGGGCAAAGTCAGATGCTTAAAAAGCGTAATTGTTTGCTCACCATCTCGAAGAAACGTTTAAACCTCATAATGACATAAATGACACACTCTCTACTACAATTGTTCAAAGTCACCTTAACGTACCCTTACCAATGACATTACCAGCAAAAGCAATTCATCCTTACGAAGTTCAAAATTTAATTCAGAGCTTGCCAATCAACAAAGCTCCAATCAACAAACTTAATTACGAATTTCGTCATCACAAATTTACCTATTTGAAAGCAATTATATTTCTAACAAATATATACAATTCTATTTTGAGAATCACACATTTCCCCACTCTCTGGAAATATTCTGAAGTTGGCATGGTCTTAAAACCAAATAAATCCACAGACTCTCCAAATTCCTATCGTCTGATCAGCCTTCTTCCTTCCTTTTCTAAATTATTTGAAAAAATTATTTTTCGTCACCTTGATTATCTCGATATATTTAAATTTATTCCAAATCATCAATTCGGCTTCAGAAAGCATCATTCAACTGTTCAACAATGTCATCGATTGGTAGATTATATTTCTAATTCTTTAGAATCCAAAAATGATTGCCCTGGAGTTTTTCTGGACATTAGTCAAGCCTTTGATAAAGTTTTGCATGAAGGATTGCTTTCCAAACTTAAAATTTTACTTCTTCCGACCTACTATCTAATATTACTTTCATATCTAACGGATAGACATTTTGTAGTAAAAGTAGGGACAGAGCGGTCTGACATTAAACCTATTAAAGCAGGAGTACCTCAGGGTAGTGTCCTTGGACCAATATTATTTAAAGTATATATGTCTGACCTACCTGAACACAATGACACATTACTGGCTACTTTTACAGATGATACCGCAATCCTAAGCTCAAATAAAAACCCTGCTCGAGCATCTACCACTCTTCAAAATCATCTGCACGATATTGCAGATTGGGCCACAAGATGGAAAATTAAGATGAATGAAAAAAAAAAGTGTGCATGTGGTATTCAATCTTAACCATAAAACTTCACCTGAAATATATTTTAATAACATTAAAATTCCAACATCAGACGTAATTAGGTATTTAGGCTTTTACTTGGACAAAAGACTTACTTGGAGGATTCACATCAGACAAAAACGAATAGAACTAAACAGACGATACGGTCTTTTATCCAGATTACTTGACAGACGTTCAAAATTATCATTAACTAACAAACTGACCCTTTATAAAGTTTTACTTAAACCTATTTGGACTTACGGCATAGAACTGTGGGGTTCTGCTAAAACTTCTAACATTAAAAAAGTTCAGTCCTTTCAGTCAAAAGTGTTGCGAAGGATAGTTGACGCACCGTTTTATGTCACAAATGATACACTACATAAAGACTTAAACGTACCTACAATTTTAGATACTGCAAAAGAGAAATAATAATAATAACTTTCACCAAAGACTGACGTACAACATGAATCCCCTGACAGAAATTCTTCATCGTACAAGAAACCCGTACAGCCCACTACGACGATTACGCAAGCGTTGTGCAAGAGACCTGCTGATCTGATTTATATCCCGGACGTGATGGGAAGCTGCGAAGCTGACAAAAAATTTGCTCATTGCAAAGAAATTTGCAGATTGCAAATTTAATCAAATGTTCTACATTTTTGTTTCGTTAATAAATAAATAAATAATTTTAAAAAAAGTATCTAAAATCCATCTAATCAAGGCAATGACATTGTTTAAAAAACTATTTCATTGTACTTGTGTGAAAGAAGAAGTAAAATATAAAATCATTTCATGGATGTATAAAGCATATGTTCATAACCTTAAATACATTTACTGTAGTTTAATAATTCTAGATCTGACATTATATTTAAATAATTAGATATCTATCATCCGTTTATTCCGAAATATTGTCATGAAACTTTTTAGAAAATTAAATTAGAGTATAATTTGACGAATCTTCCCTTTGTGATATTCCAACAGTATCCATTACTATTTCATTGTAATTGTGTTAAAGAAGAAGTGAAATATAAAAATATTTCATAGATATGTTTATAACCTTAAATATATTAACTGTAGTTTAATAACTCTAGATCTGATATTATATTTAAATATTTAGGTATCTATCGTCCGTTTATTCCGAAAAATCGTCGTAACCTTTTAGAAAATTAAATTAGTTAATAGTTTAATGATATTCAAACCGTATCCACTTAAATTAGTGTGACAAATTTTGATCTGTCTATGACAGACTATGCAAATTTCTAAATTCCGTTTTAGTAAACTTTGCAATGAAAAATAACGGTTTAATAACCAATAGTCTTACAATCCATAATCGTACAATCCATCAACCGGTGATATTAATGGTATTTATGATTTGTTGTCGGTAATTTTTTAGCTTTAGCTCGGTTAAAAAAATTTATAATAGCCCAACATAGGCCAGAAAATAATATATATTAAAAAGTTGAGGGGTGAGTGAAAGTTATGTGTCCCGGGCATCAGATTTTTCGGTTTATTATTTTCAATAATCAGCCATTGTGATCGACCAAAAAATTCAAAAAGTTAACCCCCTCTCGAAATTTGAGGTTTCACGTTTCAGGACGCCTAGAATTCGAAAAAAGAATAAAATGTTTTTTTGTCCGTCCGCCTTCCGCGCATTTTCTCCGAAACTACTGGACCGATTGTTTTCAAGTTTTGATATAAAATGAGAGGTCACCCGAGGATGATCCTCCTTCATCGACATTACTCTCCGCCTTTAACTTTCAAAATGGCGGCCGAAAAACCTGCGTTGCTATAGACTGTAGCTCCTAAACGAATGTACAGATTTCAATGAAACTTCGCTAAAGTCATTTTCTCGACGCCCTTTAAATTTATCTATATAACATACTTCAATGAAAAGAAGCTGAAAAAAGTTACGAGGGATGGTAAAATAAAATTCCGGATAACTCGAAAAGTTTTTACTTTTTTTGTTTTGTAACTTTTGTTTAAAAGTTTACGAAATTTCCTAAAAAACAAAAAAAAAATTGTTAAAATCGGACAATTAGGAGCAAAGATATGGTCTTCGGTTTTTTTTTTATATGTTCTACTCCAATGTCCTTGGTTTGGTTTTTAAATTTTCAATGTGTTACTGAACTAATGCTATTTTTTTTTTGCATATTACTGATGATTAAAGAAAAACAGTTTTGTCAAATAATTGGAATCACCTTTTGTTTTTTTTTCTTTGTAACTCGGAAGGTAATGTTACTTTAGATGTATAATTGTTTGGAAATAATAAACCATTGTGAAATAATTTGCAGCGTTTTTTATCATGAGACAGTAAAAAAACATAACTAGAGGAGCTGATTATTATTTAAAGTTATGTGAATGAAAGAGTATATTGTTTCCTAACTCATTCCAAGTTGAAAAGGTATTTGTCAGTGGCTTATTAAATTTCTAATTGACATTACCTTTGGATTGCTCATTTTCTTACCGCTAGATTCGAAACCTTTTGTTTTGAAGCCTCTTAATTTTTTCAATGACTTCCATTAAAGTTGTAGAAATACAAGGATCGCCAATGAGATTCATCACTCCTTCATTAAATTCTCTTTTCTTTGTTAGCTCATTCCTTAAACTTCAATCCTGGTAAAGAGATCTATACTGCCATTGAAATTATTGTTGCACAAATTTGGTTGATTGTTAAACACAGTGTGATGAGCGTAATCGATTTTTAATGAAGAAATGTTTATTCCTCTTAAACTGAAATGTAAATGAAACCATAAATGTAATTTTAAAAGATTTGTATATGTTACAAAAAACACAACAAAACACCTATAGTTTTAAAATATTTAAATCAAATCTATATTTTAATTTTTCAGAACTATTATAATGTGTCTTTTGACCACAAGTGGATTCTTAATATTGCTTCATGCCACTTACGTTAATTCTGAATGGAATTACTATAAACAATTTTATGAAGAGAGGCAACAACAACAGAAAGGTACATTTTTGCGTGTTTTGTTATATTATAAAATAATTAAATATTATATTATTTTTTAAATAATCTATCCTTGTCGATGCCTAAACTTAAAATTTATAATTTAAATTATCATTACCACCTTTTATCCATTATATTTCATTGGTTCATTGGCTACAGAATGCTATATTATAGTAAAAATAAACCAAATATTTTAAATGTAAATGTAATGTTAAATGCCTGGAGATCCGGGGGTACCGGAACGAGCTGGTGAAACGCCCGCCGCTCTAGTGACCAGTATGGGAGCCAGCTGGGAGGTCAGGCTTAGTGCAGAAGACATGGTGCATCACCGCAGAAGCTGGAAAGATGACCTACGACCCCTGCCTGTCATCGCACGATTCCTCAGACAATCAGTCAGAAACGATTTAATATCGGAAAGAAAAGTCAAGAGGGATTTCTCCACGCAGGATATCCGTTGGTAGGAGAATGACTGCCACCGGATATATCTGGGTGAGGAGATGACTCACACGAACAGGCACTTATAGTGGCTTGCCTGACAGAAGAAAGCAACGGGGTAAATAAAATATACTGGTTTGCCGTTGGTAAGGTGCGATGTCGGAAAGAGGACGGCCATAAGATTATCTTGATCGAACAGGCCTCGCACTTCGATAAATACCTAACTACACAGAATTTGTCTACCACTCATTCTTATCAAAATAACTACTAGCAAAATTGTCTTCAAAGAAATATTGTCGCTTTCATTCGTGGAGCTATTTCTTCACTTTTACATATTAATCTATACATTATTAACTACATACTTTTTATTTTATGTTTCTGTAAACACATTCTTTTTTCTCATTTTTTATTAATTGTAATAGTTTTTCTTTATTTTTTATTTGCTATAGCGTTTCTTTACCCAACTCTGACTGTTTCCTTCCAAACCCTTCTCATGTCTAGTACCCTAATCACCTGTCATGTTAACTCTCAATCCCTCGCTGTCCATTACAACGAATTTCTGCAATATGTTACTCAAACTTTTTATCATATTATAGCTATCTACGAAACGTGGCTTAAATCTTATATCTCTATTCTGTCTCTTTGCCTGATTACACTCACCTCCGTCAAGACCGGTCTGGCGGTGGAGTAGCCATATTTGTCCGTAATAGCCTGAAGACCCGAGTCCTCAATTTATCCCCACCTTCGAACCAACCAAAAATTGAATACTTATTAGTAGAAATTCTCCGTGATACTTCTCTTCTCCTCTACGCTGTGGTATATCCTTGTTCCATTTCACCCGTCCTTTGAATCTATCCTATTGAATTTCGTTCCCTTCTATCACAGAATAATCATCTGACCTCAATACCAATGACAAGTCAGATTCCTATCTAACTCCATTGACAAGTCCTGTCTAGAAGACCTATTCTTCTCCCTTCACCTCTTCATCCTTCCTTTTTCTTCCACTCACCATACTAGCATGTCTGACACTTAGCTAGATTTCTACATTATAAATTCTGTACAAAACCTTCCCCCTTCTTCCCAACTGCCAGTATCCTTTTTGTTTTCTCACTATCTGATACTAATAGAATATAATATCCTCCTAATAATATATAACTCCTCCTATCCAGCCTCGAACTATCACCTTCCGCCATCTAGATTCCCTTACACGAGAAAAAAATATTACCTGACCTGGAAATCCTGACCTGGAATATATTCTTGCTCTTCTATCGCCCCTATGGTTGACATTCTTACTACCAATCCCCTCAATATCCTCAATACCCATGTCCCTTTCAAAACATCTACATTTCGTCACTTGCTTGCTCCTTGGATGCGTCAGGAAATTAAAGATCTGCAGAAGAGGCGTGACGATGCCCGTAGACGTTTTAGACGTATTAGGCTTATAGATGACTACCAAGCGTTCAGTCTGCTTCGCAACTTGACACAAACAAGGTGTGAAATCCCTCTACTTACATGAAGCCCTTTTCTCAACTCCGGATATCAAATCAAAACGGCTACTGCTTCGTAAACTTTCCCTTTGTGATCCTTCCAGAGCCCGTAGCCCAGCCTTTCCAATATCCACAGATGATCTAAACTCACATTTTATATCTGTTGCTAATACCTCTATCCTCCTCTTCCGGCTTCCCTTTAGAGATAAAGTTTAACGACAATAACTTTTATTTTTCCGACATTTCCCCTCAAACTTTTTAACCGTTGAAATGAAATCCCACAACAATTGCATAGGACCAGATGTTAAATTAATAAAATTATGTCTCTCTGAAATCCTCCCAGTTCTTCTTTTCATTTACTATTTCTCCCTTCAGAATTCAGTATTTTATACATCTTGGAAAAAAGCCATTGTCCTTCTTTGAATAAAAATTCTAATCTGACCTTCCCCGAAGATTTCTGCCCAATCTCAATTCTTTCCTATTTCTTAAAATTCCTAGAAAGATTGGTGCAATCCTATGTCTCCAACTTCCTTGAAATATTCAACCAACTTTATCCTCTCCAATATGATTTCCGTCCCAGCAAATCCACACAATCCGCCTTAATTAAAATCACCAGCGACATACAAACTATCTTTATCCTTCTCGACTTCTCCAAATCCTTCGATTAATTAACCATTCCATTCTTTACAACAAACTGAAATTATAATCCTTCTCCAATAGTTAGATCTCTTGGTTTCAATCTCACAACGTACCAAAGTAGTCTCCATACCCAATCAACCATTATCTACCTTCATTTCTTTAACGTACTACATAAATCAATTCTCGATTGTTCCCATCACCAACAGACAATTCTCAGATCTATCTATCCTTTTCTCCTCCTGAGTTATTGGGAGCATTTGCCAAGATTCAAGAAGATTTAGATCGAATCATTGTCTGGGCAAATGTAAACGGATTAAAGTGCTTTCAAAACTCAGACTATTGTCATTGCTTGCAAGTCCCTTCTTAGATCCCATACCGACTTTCCCATACTACATCTTAATGACCAGCAAATCTCCTTCTACACCTTTGGTAAAACTTTAGGATTTTACATTGATCAAAACCTCTTCTGGAATTGCCATATTTCTCACATCTCTCGAAGGACGCGTAGACTCCTAGTTTCCTCTCTCATTTCCCCCCGCTTTGCCTACAGCTGTGAGGTGGCCTCTCTGTGGAGTTTCGCGATAGACTGAAAAGATTAATGAACAGCTGCGTATGATTTGTCATTGGAGTCCCAGATACTATCATGTCTCTCACCACTACGCTGAGTTAAGGTGGATTCTCCCCTCCTTCCGAAAAAAATATTTCCTAGGTATATTCCTTTACCAAATCATCAACAATCAATGCCCTTCTTACGCCTACAACCTACTCCAGTTCAAATCCTCGGTCCATTCGTTTCCACAAGATCTCGACCTTCTAACATTTACATACCTTCTCACAGATCTGCCTCATTCCAAAACTCAATTATTGCTCGCTCTGTCAATTTCTGGAATTCCCTCCCTATCAAAATTTGACATTCTCTCTCCATATAAACATTCAAAACCCTCCTATTCCAACTCCTATCCCAAAAAAAGTCAGATAGTAGCTAACAATTCGACAACATGCATTTATTTTATACTATTAATTGTCAAATATCAATGCTGTTCTTTGCTAGGTATATTAATTTTCTTATAGAGTAAAGATTTTGCTACTCTTGATGTCCCTGAACGCATCTATTGGTTGTTTATAACTATTATCTTTTATACACCACTACATTCTTGCCTATTGTTATGTTAAGGATAGGATGATAATGTATTTACATATAATAAACATTTAAATGATAATGCATTTATATATATATATATATATATTAATGAAGAATTTAATATATATATATAATTTTTTTTCTTTATTGTTTTCTTAAAAGTATATGTAACAGTGTATACTGGTATATCACTGCAAATAGCTTTAAGTTTCTTGTCATATAGTGTTGTTTTGTATATAGTTACAGTTGTTTTGTATATAGAACGTGTGTTGTCAGGAAATCACTGCAGGAAACAAATGAGGATCTGTCAAAAACTTTATACCACAATACACAAAACACCTTTTATTCCTCTACATAAACATCACAAAAACAGGAACAAAGGATCTACTCCTTTGTCGATAACCTCACCCAAGCCAACCTGCTGTTTACAAAAGCTCAGCAGTGCTGCCATATAACCTGCATTAACACTACACACTCCCGCCTTTACAGTTTATGCTTTAAATTGTAATCTGGTTTAAAATAACAAAACGAAATTTAAGATATTGAATACAAAAATTTACAGGATAAATCATTAATTTAATAACATTAAATAAACTATTTTAACAAATGTTTTCTGCTTCTTTTTTTAGTCCAGATAAGATATAACTGGCTAATAACATTCCGAGATACACTACTGTTCTTAGCTGTTTTTTTTTTCTTCTCTTCCAGTTTTGGAAAACTTTTTTAGAGGACAATGAACAACTATTTATACCACCAGTTGTTACTTGTACTTTTCTGACTAAGATTTGGTCCTGAAGGGGACCATTGGCTGATAACAGACCTGATGCTATATCTTATGATACTCCTGGAGTTCGTTTTCGAGCTAGAGTGTTCACATATACACAGATACACAGACCATTTTTCGGGACTTGGTTATTTGGACTTAGGGTACCTCAAAACGTTTATTTCCGTTAAAAACTCAGATTCGAAAATTTTCACGATCGTAATACTTCCCCTTCCTATATACTACATATATAGGTAAGTAAGTGAAAGTAAAAATAAAAAATATTTTTAATGTTGTTTGAAATTTTGTTAATATTTCATTATGTTTTAACATTTTTTATGAAACATGTGTTTTAGGATTGAAGATTGATTTCAAGAAATTTATTGTATGTGACATTAGTTGTAAGTTGAAAAAATGTTTGTGCTGCAAGGGAGTTTCATTTTTTAAAGGTAATTTCGATTTTTTAATAATCCTATATTATGCGATAATATTTTTTTGCAATAATATTTATATAACCAAATTGTATAAAACTGATTTTAAATACGTAATGAAAAGAAAATTGATTAAAAGAGCTCTATATTTTTTCTTCTCATTGAAACAATATCTGATAAATCAATGATAAAGAAAATACAAATTGAAACAGTGAAAAGATAGGGCGGTACCTCCACGCCCAGTGGTATAACAAAAGGCCTCTGGCCACAGATGCAAAGAACGCATACAGCGTGCATAGCCCTCTTACCTTAAAATGCCCTTGGACAATAAAAGGAATTTGAAAATTTATGTATATATACTATTAATATATATTGTATTTTGTGATCAAGAAATTCCTGGGGGGTAGGAAAAAAAAAAAATAAAAAACAGTGAAAAGAGAACAGAGAACCTTATTTCGTCTCCGATTTTAGAGAAGGAAAACAATTACATTTTTGTTTCTTTTAAACAATTAAAAACGATTCTCCGCAGGACTAAAGGAAACCGGGCACCAGGCGTTGATGGAATTCAGAGTATATTACTCAGTTACCAAGGATAGGTATAATGGTACCTGGTGAACCTTTACAACTCCTGTCTACGGCTTCGCTACTTCCCGGATTCATGGAAACATGCTATTTTATTTCCACTGCTAAAACCAGCGAAAAATGATAATAACCCAGCTCATTACCGGCCGGTAAGTTTGTTACCTCACATTGCCAAAGTATTTGAAAAAATCATTTTAAACTACTTAAGAAGGTACTGCACACAGAATGATCTGATCTTTCTGAAGGAATTTTGTTTTCATACCAAAAAGGAAAAATGAAAATGCCAAATGAATTTAAAATTAACAACACCAGTATTAAGTTATCCACTGAGTTAACATATCTCGGTATTCACTTCGACAGACATTTAAAATTTACTAGACATTTTCACAAAAAAATTAAAACAGTAAAATCTAAGACATACAGACTCCAAAATTTAATTCGGACAACAAACCTATCTTTACGCCTAAAGCTTCTAATCTATACAAGTATAATTCGGCCGGCTCTGTTGTATGGTGCACCTCTGTTCGAACACATCAACAAAACAACTCTAAAAAGATTACAATATTTACAAAATGGAATAATTAGAAAAATTGTTAGAGGAACCACGCTGCAGAGAAAGAAGACAGTGGATATACAAGCAACACTAAACTTATCAACAATTAAAGAATTTTTCGCAAAACGAAAAAAATCATTTTTCGAAAAATCCCAAAAATTGGCAAACCCTCTTTTAAACAATTTGTTACCAGCCAAAATTCCAAAACGTTGGCAACAAATCACATGACATCGATGTTTTAATTTAGTTGTAAGCTCTAGAGGATAAGCTGAACTCAAGCCTGAGGTTAGCCCCACCACCTTTTATATTACAGATGGAGAACGAAATACATAGAAACAACAAAAATCTAAAAATAAACCTTACAATGCTTTTAAGCAGTAAAAGGTGCATTAAGACAAACCAAGGATTAAAGACAAAAATAAGTAGAAAGGGGCTATGAAAAAAAAAACACATTGATTTTCTCATTCTATCCGAGATTGATGAAATCATTTCCTCATTCATATCACAGTTAAATCACAGGAGTAATGTTGTCAGGTACAACGATAGAGTTAAAAAAGTTGAAGATGTTTACATACGACCTTTTGTACTAACAGTAGTAATATGTAATTAATGTTTTCACACCAAAAATGGATGGTTCAAAACATCCATAAGATAAACTAAACTTTTTGTTTTTTCAGAGTTAACAAGACTACAACTTTTCTTCAGCCAGAACAAAACTATTTAAGTTGGAATTTAAAAATATATTTAAAAATCACACAGAAAGTTGATACCACGACGAACTAGTTGAACTTCAATAGAAATAAACACAATCACAAATAAGACTATTCTTTTTTACAAACTCAGAGTAAAAATTAATTTAAATTTATTGAAAATTAGACGAAATCAAAGTAGCGGCAGTAAATATCATGCCAGTAACGTTTTGAATCGACGAAACAATACAGTATAAAGTCTTTGAATAAAACCTAATATTTTATAACCCCATATAAATACCGTCTTAACCTAACTTCCATTCCATATGATCAGTGATTTTCACGTTTCACAGCCATTATATTGTTAACAATTATTTATATTAATTGTAATTATTAAATAGAATTCAATGAAATTCATACTAGGTAATTTCTATACTATTCTCCAAATTTCCTCTAAGTTCGGGTCAAATTGAACACGCAATTTTAAAACTATAAGCTTTTCAAATAATAGGTTTACTGATCCGAAAGCAAAAGTATTTTTTTCAGGAGTAGTGGATAGAATTTGATAAAATTCATACTTAATTGATTATCTGTTTATCAATCCCTAACTTCCCTCCAAATTTGTGCCAAATCGAACATGCGGTTTTAGAGATATAGACGTATCCAGAAAACCACGTTTGAGCATATATAAGTGAAAATAGTAGACATAATTCAATAAAGTTGACACTACCTTATTTTTTCACCATTGTCTACCTTTCATCCAACTTTGAGCCAAATCGAACGAGCCCTTTCAAAAATATTGGCATATTTAAAAAAGTACGTTTTCGCTTGCCTAAGCGGAAGTGCTGGATGGAATTTGACAAAATTGATATAGAACTATCTAGGCACCAATGCGCACAATCCCTAAAAATTTCATGAAAATAAGATAAAAGGTACTAGGTGATATGCCCGTCACATCGATTTGACTATAGACAGACAGACACTGAACCAAATTTGATTATTGATGTCTGAATAGAAATTTTAGATTCTGAGCGCAAATTTTTTTTAACAACTCACACAAAAACAATGCTTTCCTACCTTCGGTAGTGAGGAAGAAAAAAATAAATAAAAAATCTGGTGCTCGCAACACATTGAATAGAAATTATTTTCTGGCCATTTTGGGCTATTATAAATTTTTTTAATTGCATTTATAACTGAGCTAAAACTAAAAAAGTACAGCTAACAAATCATAAATACTATTTAAATAAAAAACTCCTATTTATTATATCCCCGGTTGATTATGGATTGTACGATCCGTTTATTATGGTACAATCCGGAATCAGCGTATTTTATACAGTGACATAAACCCGTATAATGAACAGAAAATTCAAAAGGATTTATTTACTAACCAAATAAATAAAAACGTTACAACTTCAATAGGTTCTCTTTTCGAAAGAATTAAACTTCAAACTTTGAATAGAAATTATTTTCTGGCAATGCTGGGTTATTATAAAATTTTTGAAGTGCATTTTAAACGGAGCTAAAGCTTAAAGCTTACAGGTAACAAGTTATTAAGACCATTACAATTAAAAAATGTCTATTTATTTATCGACAGTAGGCAATACAAATCAAGTCACTCCATTTGCTTTTATAAACTGCACAACTTCCTTTGCTTTTATATACCACAGAATGACTAACGCCAATTTCAACATCTTTGAGTAATGTCATTTTAGTGATATTTTTAGTTGAAAAATTTATCTATGTATACAGTGAATAAGTTGATTCCGGAGGAGGTGATGGCAATGTTGAAATATAGAACTGTGAATAAAGGTATAAATTTAGCCACTAGAAACATCACTAAAAGTAACAATAAAGAATCTTGAAATTGGAGTTAGTCATTCGACCGGAAGGCTCATATATGCCTACAGACGTTTGAAAGTATATCTGAATATTTAATTTATAAATGATTATGGGTCGTAAAACTATTAGTAGTTTTGCCCGCAATCGGTCTTGGTCTTACACTTTGCAAGACCAAGACCAAAATATGTAAAAAAAAAAAAAAAAACGGATTTTTCGAATAAAAATTGAGGCAAAATAGTCACTAATACTTGGCAATTTTAGTTACTAGATATAAAGAATTGGTGTAAACAATATACTTTTTCATTTAACTCTTCTAATTTTTCATTCAGGCTTAGTTAGGTTTCTCATATCTAAAAAAATACAGTAATTCCTCTCCAGTAATAAGCAAATAGGCATCAGCAAGTCTGTTACGAGATTCTTGCGCAAGACCAAGACCTAGATTAAGACTGAGTTCGCAAGACCAAGACACGTCCCGCATTTGGACAACACTAACTATTAGTTATTACGCTATTATTTTCCATTGTAAAGTTTACTAAAACCAAATTACGAGATTTTCATTTCCTTGCCCTGGATAGGTCAAAAGTTGTCTCAATAATTGTAAGTGGATAAAGTTGGGATTTCACAAAGAGAAAATTCATCAAATTATTCAATAATTTTATTTCCGAAAAAATTACTTCATGATTTTTTGGAATAAACGGCCAATAGATACCTAATTATTTAAATAAAATATCTTATCTAGAGTTAATACTCTATAGCAAATACACTGACTGGCAAAAAATTCCACCCTCTTGATTTTTTCATGTTTTCATCTAAAAATATTTCTGCTTTGGATTGATCTATTGTTTTTAATGAATAAATAGGTAATCTTTTTGTTTGTTTTCAATTAGGAATGTTAATATAGAGGACAATAACCCTTAATCCTTAATTCAGTGAAATGATTCTAGATTCCAATGTTTACTTTCTATGGAATCAAAATGTTAATTGAGTATCTTAGTTTAGTGCCGTTTCTTGCAGCACATATCTTAGTCTCCGGCTTTTAATTTTTTTAATATTAAGTTTAAAAATGCCTCTTACTGCTGAGGAAGTTGTGCGTAGTGTGGCACTTATTGATGATCGGCGTTCCATTAGCTATACAGCTAATGCCATTGGAGTTCCATATGAAACTGTACGAGATGCCGTTAGGCGTTTCCGGGAAACTGGTTCTGGACGGCCTAGGGTAACATAACCACGGGATGACCGGTTTTTAACTTTGAGAATTTTACGATTTGAGGATTTTACGTGTGCAATTTTTGAACGTACCGCTCGGAGAAGATTAAATGAGTATGGATTAATGGCTTTTCGTCCAGTAAGAGGAC